TTGAATACAGTATACCAACAATCCTATTTATGATCAATGTACATATCCCTAATTTTTAGGGAGTAATCACTGATCGAAAGTGGGCCTTCAATCGCATTTTTGAGATTTTTTATATTTGGGATCCAACTTGTGTTCCATATGTTCATATTTGATTGGTAGTGCGGTGACCATGTAATCCCTTTAGAACATAACTCCCACCCCTTTAAGATGCCCTTCCAAATGAAGTAGTGATTAAATTTTGAGGTATTCACCCCATATAAGGTAATAATAAGCCTTGCCCATGGAGTTGTGACATTTGTGAGTAATCTCCATACTAGGTTAGCTAAGTTGCACAAATTTTTTTGCATTAGCATTATTAATACCTAAACCTCCGTTTGATTTAGGTTGGCAAACATTAGACCACTTAACAAGGTGAATTTTTTTTCTTTTCTACCGTCGTACCCCATATGAAATCCCTCTGGATTTTATCAATGTTATTAAGAGTCTTTTTTGGTAGAAGGGTATATTGCATGTAGTGGTTTGGTATGGAGTTTAGGCATGATTGGGCTAGGGTAGTTCTCCCTGCTATATTCATAAATCTCATTTTCCATGAGGCAAGTCTTGTTCTTATTTTGTCAACTATGAATTGATAATCCGCTGGTTTAGGATTCTTCATTAATATAGGAAAGCCCAAGTAGGTACCAAATGTCTCAATTTTTTATATACCTAAGTTATTCGTAATTTCATTAATAATGTGTGATGAGCAGTTCTTTGAAATTTTTTTTTTTGATTTAGTCGCATTTATGCTTTGTCCTGAGAGTTTGCAAAAATAATCAAGGCTTGTTTTAATATTTTGACAAGATTTGCTATTTGCTTTGGCCATTAATGTCAAGTCTTCTGCGAAAAAAAGATGAGAAAAACTGGGGCTTCTTCTCCCTATAGTAATAGGGTCCCAGTTACAAATATCAACTTGGTGATCAAATACCTAGATAACATTTCTAAACATAGGATGAAAATATAAGGTGATACAGGATCACCTTGTCTTATCCCTCTACTCGGCTCAAAATTTTTTGTGGTGAAGCCATTTACAAGAATTGCTATGGAGCTGGTTGAAATATAGCTTAGCAAGAGTTTAGAGAATTTAGGAGAGAAGTTAAAGAATCTTAGAGTGCGGCAGACGAAGGACCATTCTAATCGATCGAAAGCCTTTTCACGATCAATTTTTAAGATCATATGGCCTTGTTTTCCTTTTAATCTTTTTAGATTGGAAATTAATTCCTGAATGATGATTGCGTTGTCAGAGGCTCTTCTATTTTCATAAAACTGGCTTGAAAGGACTAATAATTTTCTCTAAGTAGGGTGTGAGACGGCTTGCAAGAATCTTAGTGATAGTTTTGTAAATAGTATTACAAAGGCCAATTGGTCTAAAATTCATAATATTATTAGCATTGAGCATTTTTGGGATAAGGCAAAGATATGCTCTATTTATATCTCTAGGGATTTCTTGCTTATTGAAAATATCATGATAAAGATTCATGACGGATTGTCCTATGATGTTCCAATATCTTTGAAAGAAAAAGGGGTGAAGGCCATCCGGCCTCGACGCTTTAAAAGGTTTGAAGGAGAAAATAGCCCTCTTGATTTCACCGTCTAAAAGAGGGTTGTCTAGTGAATTAAGGTTTATTTTAGGATGACTAGAATGTTTTTCCCTCATATCAATCCAACTAGTAGATGAGCGGGAGGTGGTGAAAATGTTACTAAAGAAACTAAACACGTGAGACATGATTAAATGATGATCATTAATTCAGTTACCAGCATCATCTTTAAAGAAGGTAATTTTATTTCTTCTTCTATTTGAGGCAGATATATGAAAAAATTTGGTATTTGCATCCCCTTCATTAAGCCACATAATTCTGGATCTAATCTTCCAGTAGTCCTTTTCTATCTTAAGGATGTCATTGTAGTCTTTCTTAAGATTGCTTTCTAAAGATTGAAGGAAAATACTATGGGTATAGTTCATAGAATTTTGAATTCCTTGGAGCCTTGCTAATATTTTCCTTTTTTTCCCCACTATATCACCAAACGTCTTGTCTTTCCAAGGTTTAACACTGTCTATAAATTTTTTTCTGGCACTATAGTAGTCAGTACCATGCCAATTTTTTTTAACAAGTGTTTGGAAATCTGGATGTCTACACCAATAGGTTTCTAGTCGGAATGGTTGTATATGGCCTTGTCTTTTTCTGGGAATTAGATCAATTAAAATAGGGTTGTGGTCTGAATAAGTTTTTGGCAGATGTATAATAGAACAATTTAGAAATAACTCAGACCATTCTTCCTTTCCTAGTATTTTGTCTAATCTTTCCATAATAAGGCCTTTATTTCTATGTCTATGGTTAGACCACGTATATTTACAACCTTTATAGCCCATGTCCATTAGGTTACACTTATTAATTTTTGACCATAAGAAATCTGCCCTATCGTTGTTAGTAAGTCTCCCCCCAAATTTTTTATTTGACCCCAAAATATCATTAAAATCTCCACTAACCATCTTTGGGCCTTTATAATTTTTATAAATATTTTTTAGATTTTCCCACATAATGTTTCTATATTGGTAGTTAGTACTAGCATAAATAGAAGAGAATAACAAAATTTTACGTATATGAAGTACCTCAATAATCGCATGAATCTCTTGGTTCCTACGGATGAAGTTCTGGACAGTGACCACTTCATGATTCCACATAACTACCATGCCACCTGACTGGCCTTCTGCTGGCACTTCTATCATCTCCAAGAAGCCAAAATCATCTAGCATTTGTTCATGATTTATCATTTTAGTTTCTAATAAGGTCACATGCACGGCCTGTGAGTGTCTATCATTTCCTTAAAATTTTTCCTAAAGTTGTCATTATTTCTCTCCTTATATTCCAGATGATGAAGTTAGTTAGACGGTTCATGGATTGGTGTAGGCTCAAGTTTGCTGGGTCCCCATTCTCGCTCACCCCTCCCAGAAAGACAGGGTTCCTTCCTAGAGATAGAACTAGAATCATGGCTCTGTGCCCACTGTGGGGTGGCCTAATATCCATCGAGCACTAGTATAGTGCTAGAGGGCAGTTGAGCACATGCCTCTTCTCTCGCATCTCCGTAAAGAGATATACTTTTACCCCATCTAGGTTTGTGTTTAGGCTTGAGAATTTTTCCCTCGATTCCCTGCCCGGTGGAAGAAATCCTTCCTTCCCCACTGTTATTTTTTCTCCTCCTAGTTCTTGAGCATTGTGAGGAGGATTGGTGTCCATTGAAAGGGGTGTGAGTGGATGAAGATTGTCCGAAACTTAGATTAGTTTGCATCTCTTTTTCAAGAAAAATGGTATTTTTGGAATTATTCTCAATAGTTGAAATTTTAATGGGAAGTTCAAGTGGGGAAGTAAGAGAATCCGGAGAAAGGATAGGCAAATCAATTGCAATAGAGTCTAGTTGCACAGTATGCATGTTGTATTTGGTAGGATCTTGCAAGGATGAGCCTTGTGGATTTTGCTCTTTAGCTTTAGCCATTTGGCTACTTAAATGTATTTCAATGGCCAACGATTGTGACTTATGGTCACAAGAGCTTTCAGGGATTTTTTCATTGAAAGTAATAGTAGGATTGGAAAGTTCCATGGATTCGGTAGAGGACACGCGGATACGAGCATCTGCCATTTGCTTATCAAATATATTTTCAGAGGACAAGTGCGAGGAGCTTTTAGATTGATTAGAAGTAGTAATGTTATTTGAATTATTTAAATTAGTAATAATATTGGTAACATAAGTTTCGTTGTTGGTAGAGGGGGGAATAGAGAATTCTTGTTTTTGAGTTTTTTTTTATTATTGGCAGAGGTTTTAAGACTAGTAATAGGTTAGCTAGTAATTGTGGTGGCACTCTTAGAGATATCCACGTTGGGCTCTAGGGAGTCCACCTCAAGGTTGTCCATGCATTGGTCATGATAATCTTGAATAGTGGTTTTTTTATTAGTGGTATTTTCATAAACCATGGGCTGATTTTCTAATAATAAAAATTTATTTTTCCCATGGAGAGGCTTGACTGCAGGAGGAATAATAGTTTCAGAAACTAAGAGAGATTTTCTTTTGTCTGTGTCCAGCTCTAATGGTGAATCTCTGCTTTTATATTTTAGTTTTTGGGTATTGAGATAATTACCTGTTGATGCATCAAAAATCCTGACATTAATACCCGTGGCAGGTGATTCACCGATTTGCTCAGCCCTTGTTTTCTGAGAAATTTTCTTTCTCCTTGAGAATACCACCGTTTGCCATTCTTCACCATTTGTTTTGGTAGTTATTTGTTGAGAATTGGCATGTAACATAGTTTCTTGTGGAGAAGACAAGACAACATAGGACCACTATAGGGATGAATGGCCTAACCTTCCACATCTTTTGCATAAAAAGTTATCCCCTTCATATAAGATGTGTTGCTTGTGCGAACCAATAAAAATGTATGGCTTAACTGGATAATCAAGAGGAATTTCGACACATAATCTAGCATATTGCCCCCTCAAAGTGGCTAGTACAAGCATCTATTTTTAACAACCTCCCAACTTTATTTCCAATTTTTTGTAAGATAATTCCATCATAAAATTCAGTTGGAAGTTGAGGTAAACGAATCCAAACTGTAGTGAGCGATTGTTTTACTTCTGAAACCACAAAATTTGGCTCCCATTTATGGATTGAAAGGAAGTGGCCGTTTACAAACCAAGGCCCATTTTGCAAAGTTGTAATCATATTTTTCTCCTTGTTAAACTTAACGATGTAATAGTCAGCACCAAGATCTATTAGAGAAAAATTTTCCGTGGTCCTCCATAACTCTTGAATTTTTTTTCCTTAGATAATGATGGAGTATTCTCTTACCTTGAAGTTTGATGATTACTGAAAATCTCCAAGGGTAATACATTCTATGCATATCTTCCTTTGATAGATGGATCTGAAGATTTTCATTTAGTGCCTCTTTTCCATCATTGCAATTGTTTCGCTCCTGAATTTCCATTGGTGAGAATAGATTCCCTGTGGATTGGAAAGAAATGTAGTTCACATGTTCACTAGCCAGTAGCTTATCTTTGAAGGTTGGGCTAGGATCTATTAAAAAAGAATCGTCTGTATTATTGCTATCATCTGGTGGTTTCGGAGGAATTGGTGTATTATGATGTTGGGATGTTGATGAACTAGCCATCTCGCTAGTGGCGGAGTTTACAAGAATGAATGAACTTTTGCTCCACACAAAGGGATAGGTTAGAGAGAAGCTGGAGCTTCTCTCTCTAAGGCTTTATGGGGGCAGTTGTAGGCTATCTTAATCATTTTTTTGGTCCAAGGTCCTTATGTGAACATGTTTGACTATATATGGTGTTTAAAGGAGAAAAATTATTATTGAAGCTTGAGATTTCAAATATAATATAATTACTTTATGAATATTAAATTATATCATTAAAAGAAATATAATATTTAAATCGCATTTGGGCTTATGAGCCCGTTTGGATGGGCTTGTTTCAAGTGACTTTTAAGCCAAAATAGCTTTTAGGCTATAAGTTAGGAATTCTAGCTTTTAGCTTTTGGCTTGTTTTTATCATTTTAGCTTAAAAATAAGTGCTTAAAAGCATTTTCTTACTTTATCCAAACACTACAAAATGACTTAAAAGCTATTTTGGCTTAAAAGCACTTAAAACAAGCCAATCCAAACATGCTCTTAATATGGTTTGTGTCTCAGTAGAAATGGCGTGGGATAGCCACTTTAATATAGTATTTAGTTTTTATCCAATATTTTAAACGCTGAGCAAATATAGCCACTACTCTATTAAAATTAATACGAAAAGATATTTTTACCCTTTCTTCATGAGTGCTGTATAAATATTAAGGACATGGTGTCCTTAATATTTACAATGCACATATGAAGTTAAGGACGCCATGTCCTTAACATTCACACTGCATATATGAAGTCAAGGACATGGTGTCCTAAAGTTTAATAACGAAAGGTGCAAATACAACGCTCTTTGTCCTTAATATTTACACAATATTTATGAAGTTAAGGACACCATGTCCTTGATATTTACACAACACTCATAAAGTTAAGGACATTGTCTTTAACATTTACACTGGATACATAAAGTTAAGCACACCATGTCCTTAATATTTACACTGCACATATGAAGTTAAGGACACGAGGTCCTAAAGTTTAACAACAGAAGGTGCAAATACAAGTTAAGGACATTATGTCCTTAACATTTGCAGTGTAACCTGTTAATCGGGCCGGGCTGACCCGTTTTTAACCCGCTTCAGCCCGGGTTAGCCCATTACTGTAGCTTTTAGGTGCGGGCTAGGACGGGTTGGGCGGGGGCGGATTTTAGACGAACACATTTTGGATACCGGTGCACCGGAACCCGCTAAGCCCGCTAACCCGTTAACGGGTTGTTAAAGGGCTGCAGCCTGGTTCAGCCCGGTATCCGTTACAATTTTTTTTTTTAATTTTTTGGACCGTTGCCAATGGTCAAATTTAGAAATGACCGTAGGGGAACGACCATATTTTGCACAAATGGCCATTTCGGCCTCCCCCATTAAAAATATAGCCCTCCCACCCCTAATAATTAAAAAATTACAATTTTAACCTTTTAAAACCTATAAATAGCCCCCCTTCTTCTTCATTTTTTCTCACAATTCACTCTCAATTCTCTCTTGATATTATTGATTATTGTTCTTAAATTCTCAATTACTTATTATTTCAAGTTTCATCAATTATTTAGTTTAGCCATTACAAAATTATTATTATCAAATATCAAGTATTCAAGTGAAGTGTGGTATCAAGTACTATCAAGTATCAACTATCAAGTTTCGGTCTATTAATTGAAGTTTGATTTTTGATATCAAAATTAGTGCGGCATCCGGAATCCTGGTACACTCGTTCTATCTCTTTCTCTTATTTAGCGTACACTTATTTTATTATTTAAAATTATTAATTTAATTTCTTAATTTAATTTACATAATGGATTTACTTAGAGCAGCCAAAAAAGCGTGCACTAGTATAGGTGGTAGTGGTAGTAAGAAAACTTCCAAAAGATCAAGAGGTGGTGTTGGTTCTTCTAGTAGCTTTGCACATATTTCTGAAAGATCACCTGAAAATTTAAATGTAGATTATGAGCGAATGCAAGAAAATTATGGTATAAATGATGATTTAGATGATATTTTAGATGATATTCAATCACCCGATTATCTTGAAACACCACCACCTACACCTTGTAATGCTAGTCAAACTCAAAATATTAGGGGTGGAACAAGTAAGCCTCCCCTCCCTATTAAGAAGAATCGAAGATAAAGAAGTAAGTGTTGAAATTTTTTTGACAGACTAGAAGATCAAAAAAATTATGTAAAATGTAAAATTTGTAATGAAATTTATAAATATGAGCCCGGTAAGGGAGGGGGAACGGGTCAACTTCGTAGGCATATGGAAGAGCTCCACCCTCTTGATTGGGGAGTAGATGAGCAATCTGGGCAACAAAAACTTAACCCGAGTACTGGGGGGTTAATGGGTAAATATGATATTAAGAAAGATCGGGAAGAATTAGCTAAAATGATTGTTTTAGGTTGTTTACCTTTTAGTTTTGCTTCTTCACCGTATCTTGTTACTTATATTCAATGAATTTATAACCCTTTGTTTAAAGTTATTCCTAGAAGTACTTGTAGAGTTGATATCTTTAGGCTTTTTGGACAATCAGACATATATACGTTATTTGTTCGCAAGTCTTTCTTGTAGAGTTTCTCTTACTTCTAATATTGGTCATGCTGTAAATGGAAGTGATTATTTGACTATTACATGCCATTGGATAGATGATAATTTTTGTATGCAAAAATGTATTATTGATTTTTAATATGATGAAGATCAAAGTCATACTGGTGCATTTGTAAGTAATATTATCCATAAAGTTTCTATATTTTATAATCTTGCAGAAAAAGTTTTGTGTATGTCATTTGATAATGCTTATAACAACAATGCTGCTACTACAATATTAAAATTGCATCTACACCCACCACTTCCTGAAATATTCATGTTAGATGTGCATGTCATATTTATAACTTGATTGTGAAGAGTGGCCTTGAATTATTTAGAGATGAAATCACTTTAGTTAGGAGAGCTGTTGGTGTAATTCAAGGAAATAATAGAAGTGCTAGATTAAATGCATTTAAGGAAAAATATGTACACTATGGACTAAAACCAAGACTCATGCCTGAAGAAATAGTTACTAGGTGTAATTATACTTATTTATTCTTAAGTTGTTGTCATAAATATAGAATGCCTATAACAGAAGTTGCTAATTTTCACTGTACCGATCCTAACCGTTTGTTAGCATCTAGAACTTGGGATGTCATTGAAGATTTTGTACAATTTTTACAAAAATTTTATGTGGCTACACTCGAGTTTTCTGGAGCTTATTATCCTACTATTGTAAATGGTTTAGTTCATATTGCTGAAATTTCTTTTTTACTACATAATTTGAAGAAGAAAGAATGATATACTTCTGTTGTTGAATCTATGCTAGATAAGTTTAAAAAATACTTCTACCCAATTCTCCATATTTACCTACTTGGTGCTATTTTAAATCCTACTATCAAAATGATAAAGTGTTGCCAATTAATCAGTGCTTTATATACTTATATGGATATTGGACCAACTGAAACTCCTGATATTGACACTTGTATTTCTGATCTACACAATCATTTACAAACTTTATATAATTATTATGCTAACATTGTTGATGCTTTCGGTTGTAGATGCAAATATTCCTTCAACTAATACTTCAACATCTGGAACATATTTGGATGATGATGATGGTTTTCAAGATTATTTGATTTGGTCTACACTAGGAGAGCATCAACAAACCAGTAGCAGGAATATGGATGAACTCCAATTCTACTTGCAAAAGTCACCAGAGTCCTTCACAAAGAATTTTCTACCGCTAGGTTGGTGGAAGAGCAACTCAAATAAATTTATTGTTCTTTCGGCCATGGCTCGAGACGTGCTAAATGTGCCGATTTCAACAGTCGCATCAGAGAGCGCATTTAGCCAAGCAAGGCAGCAGCTAGGAGATACCCGTCATTCATTGGGCAGCAACGCTTTTGTCACGACCCAAGTTCGCCCTCCGTGAACAGTCGTGACGACACCTAGTCTCTACGATTAGGTAAGCCTAACAAATGCGGAAAAGAAATAATTGTGGAAAAGAAACTAATAAAAATCGAAATAACAAAGTATAACAGTGTTTAAGATGCCGCCCTGCATATAACAATCCAAGAATTTCAACCTAACACTCCCAAAATTCGGAACCTCATGAATCACAAGCTAAGAGTATATAAAATGCTCTAACTCCAGAAATGT